AGGATTATAGTAATTATAAAAAAAAGGTTCAATTTGTCAGACACATAAAACGGACAAGGTACTCCACTTCCTGTGTTATTTTTGTAATAATACAAACACCCTATCTAAATTTGTCATTGCTCAATTTTATAAAGAGAAACACTGAGAGATCTAAGCATCTAGCTAAATGTTAAATAGCATTTCGGTAGGTAGATCTCTCTCTCTCTCTCTCTCTCTCTCTCTCTCTCTCTCTGTGTGTGTGTGTGTGTGTGTGTGTACACATATGTCTAGACAAGGCATCTGTTAAAGCATATTTTCCCCCTGGAGATTTCAGTTGTTTCCTAAAACATTTGAATCTTATTAATGAGAAACAACAAATTAATATAACATGATTTAAAAAGAATAAACAGAGCACTCAATCAAAGGCACACTTCAGGCACTCACTAGATGCAGAATGATGCTGACAGAGGGGAGAGGAGGATTCCTGCCGCTGCAGAACCATAGCTGGCTATGAAGTGGAATTACTCATGTCCAGCTCATGTTTCTTCAGTATGGATGTTTTAGATCAACATGTGAATCTTGGTGATTCAAATCAAGGAGCATTGAGTAGCAGAGCTGGGATCAGAGTCATTGTTCTGAATTCTTTCTGATTCTGCCAGTATCCTGCCCTGTGTAGACTGGAGAAGCCACTAGCTCCCCTCATGCTGGCCTCATATACGCTTTCATTTCAAACTATTTCTGGAAGCTTGTGCTTCTTCTTCTTAATGAATTGTAATGTCATTTCATAAGAGTGTTGTTAACCTCTGGCCTCAGCTTCTGATGGCTTCTGCCAACCACTTATTTTTTTCTTCCCTTTTAACTAGTATTACCCTGTCATTTCAGGTTGCCCAGGGAATAGAGTACAAGTCCACCTCTCACACACTAACATGCTGCAACCCTGTTTTTTCCTTCTTTATCCCTTGTTCCCAATTCACTCCCCAATTTACGGATAAACAGGTATCGGCAATTCTTAATGTGCTAGAGGTACTTTTAGTTGCTGAGAATAAATCAAACTGTTTCAACTTGCTCTCTCATCTTCGTCCTTGTTGCCACTTTCATTAATAATTCCTGTTTCTCCTCGATTTACCTGGATTGCGTTGCTAAAACACTTTGAGATACTATAGAATAGTTTGTAATATTCTATGTCCTTTCTAATTGCGCATTCTCATCTAATGGGAAAGTTCTTGTAATAATTTCTGTATTGTTTTATAGTTAAAATTATGCCCTTGCATTTGCTTCCCTACCAATTCTTTTCAAGGTCATGTCTATAAGTACCTTATAATCTATTGAATGAGCCCAATTTCCTTCAAGCCAGATTTCAATGTCTATAGTTTTCCTACATTTTGTAAAATTCTTTGAAAACTAAGTCCCTGTACCTCTCAAAACTCCTAGACTGATAGCGGTTTAATGCCAGAGAAGATCTATAATAGTACATTCTGTAACACCTCAAAACTGACCAAGAGGGATATTTCTTTGTCGGCTTGTTTAGCGTAAAAATTTTGCTTCAAGGAACTAATCCCACGTATAGCTGCTGATACTCTGTTTTATTCTTGTTTAGCTTTCACTCATAATCATAAACTTAACTCTACAATCCAGCTAGACGTGGAGGGGAATGAGGAAAATATGGAACCCGAACAACTTTAGTGTGAACTGAAATTATAGGTATTGTGAGCAGATGGGCTGTGGAGGCGGCACTCTCTTGAGCTACAGAAGGCAAGGTCTGATGGGTAAAGATGCCTGCAAGCCAAAAGAATTAGAGTTGTCCACAGTCAGAAAAGGTGATCTTTATGCTAAAAACAAAATCCTATGAGTCAACCATGGGCTATTTATTACCCAAAACTTCCTATATTAAAATAATTGTAAAGAGTTTTCTCAACACATTTTTTTCACTTTCCCAGAAGAAATCAATAAAAAGCAGAAGACATCTTATTAATGACCCATTTCAGACCAATTTTCACTCCATGAATCCACTTATCAGTAAGTAAGTTAAGCGTAGCCGAGGACCTGGGAGGAAGGTGCATGGTATGGAAAGGTTTGCAAAGGCTAAGGAAGACTTCTTTCTATAAATAAGAGTGTCCTTCAGAACACAGAGAGAAGCAATGTTCTCTCTTTGTTAGACTCTGGGGATGCTGCAGTAATGTTCCCAGGTTATTATCATGCACAGGGATGGCCATGGCAGAGAGTTTTGTAGCATTGTAGGTGTTAATATCAGGAAAACCCCAGCCCCAAAAGCAAAACAGCCCCATGACACATTTTCTAAGGCAGTGGTTCTCTGCCTGTGGGTCACAACACTTTTGCGGCTTCGAACCGCCTTTTCACAAGGATTGCATATCAGATATCAGGTATACCACATCTTTTTATTGAACATGAATATTTAACATATTTGCATTATGATTATGACAGTAGTGGAAGTACATCTATGAAGTAGCAACGGAATAGTTTGACGGTAGGAGGGTCAGCACAAATTGAGGAACTGTATTAAAGGATCGCAGCATTAAGAAGGTTCAGAACCATGAAGGAAAGGACATGCATTAGAAACAGAAGATTTTAGGGCAAAGCTTTTCTGAGAAAGCACACTGCGGCAGCACATATACGTTGTCAGGAAGGATGATGCGTGATGCAGAGGAACCAGCCAACACGCTCACTTGGTGCTGCATTGCCCAGCCCTCATACAGTGGAAAAGGGCTGTATAGTATATGACTAGAGCAGTGGTTCTCATCATGTGTGTCACCACCCCTCTGGGTCACATATTAGATATTTACATTCCAACGTCTAATAGTAGCAAAATGCCAGTTGTGAAGTGGCAACAAAAATAGCTTCATGGTTGGCGATTACCACAGCATTCAGAAGTGTAATAAAGGGTTGCAGCATTGGGAAGGCTGAGGATACTGTACTAAAGGATTTGGTTGAAGCCTCGGAGTACATGTAGGGAAGAAAGGTTGAAAACAAACTCTAGGATACACATTTACGTTTTCTGATGGACATATAGACTATTGGCACTCAGAATTGGAAACAGGCCATGGCAATATTTAACTGAGATGGTAGAAAGATTCATGAGAGTCCTGAGACGATTATAAGGGAGGAAGGGCTGTAAAATTACTTCTGATAGTCAGTGGTGGGGATAAACTTTTTATCACGCTCTTTGAATGTAAGAATATAAAACGAGCAAGTTCCTCATCAAGACATTTTCTTGAAAGAAACACTGGTCTCAAATGAGCATCATCAGAGCATATGATTGACTTGTTTAGCCTAAGACTAAGGTTTAACAAAGTAGTCGTAAAGCAAGTGACTACTTTAAAGTCTGAGATGAAAGCATAATGAACCCTTTTAAGAAATCTTAGCCATTGAGAAAGTGGTATTAATTAACGAATTTGTTCTTTTATTTAAAGAATCTCAATTTCCTTTCTGAAAAAGGGGCCTCTGATTTAATGGACAAGATCATGCTTTACTGTGCACAGTTACTATTTGAGAGCAAAGGATGTGGTGTAAAGACCATAATACATGAGGCAGGAGATTGCAGTTCCCCTCCTGGCATCTACTAGCCTGTAGTGGAACTTTGCACAGGACATTTCTGAATATTATTCTTCAGCTTTCTTGTTGGCAATTTCTGACAACATCAGAGACAGTGATTTAATGCCCTTTCTTTCCCTGTCATTCTACTCTGTTACTTTATTACATAATTTACATACGCCATAATTCATTTCTTCTTGTTGGTGCCAGGAATTGAACCCAGGGTAAACCACTGTTCTACCACGGATCTATACTCCTAAAGCCACAGAATTTCACTTTCCACTTTTTAAAATGTTGTTTTTCTCATATTTTAAAAGCCTTAATAAAGCTTAAACTGTTAGTGACAACATCAAAGCATAAACAGAGATCATCCTAGCCTAGAAATGAAAAAAATTAGAGCTAACAATGATTAGAACAATTATTGGTTTCTTATGATCCAACTGTCAAAAATGTGACCCATCTTTCACTTGGTACATTTTGTGTTTGCTTCAGAGATTTGGAGATAGGCATGGATGTTTGTTATCTTCACATGCTGATGTTTCGTACACGCTTTAAAAATAATTTCCTTCCAAATATTCAGAAATATAGCCTCATATTTATTATTATAACTCTAAGTCATTCCAATCCTTGTTACATTTATTTATTTACTCGTAGTTCCCACATTGAACCATTAAGACAGTTTAGAAGATTGAAGTGAGGGGATAATGATTTCAGGATGACATGACGGATGGATGTATGGTCAGTAACGCATCCACATGACTGACAAGAGCACATCGCCATTCAGATGGCTTTACTTACACAGAGAGTACTCATACAACAGAAGATCCGAGCAGTGAATTCAAGTTTGATGTAAACAAAACCCAATTTTGACACTTAAATTCCAAAACTGAAGCTAAATATGCAAAGACGTAAATAACGTGTAAACTTGCATGCCTTTCCTTCTCTTAAAAAACAATCTAAGGTGTACGTTAGTAATTGGACAAGCAATTGAAACTAATTGGGAGCAATAATTAAAGAATTTGATCTTCACAGTGATCAAGAAGATGCAGAATATTCTTTGGAGGTGCATTATTAAGAAAACAAAGTACTGTCACGTTACATACTCTTTCTGTTGGGAAAACAGAGAGGAGGGCGTATTCCCTAAAGTTTCACACTTTGGTGTGAGATGACTCATTGCTCAAGCTATGCTACTTATCGGCAGCGCAGAATATTGTATCTGGGTTGGTCACTAAGTGAAGAATAAAAAGAAATCAAAATAAAACCTTTCTATATGGGGAAAGAGACTCAAACCGTGTGGAGCATATTTTAGAAATGACATTTTGCTAAAAGGATTTGACTCGCAGCTTTCTCCTGACTAAACATTTTCCCCTTTTCCCCTTCTGCTTCCAGAGTTCTCTGAAAGCAGTCCACAGCTGGCTGAAGATGCCAGGATTTCCCTCTCTGCCTCCTCGATGACAGTCTCAGCCTCTTACCTGGACCAGGAGTTACGGTGCCGCCAAGGTACGACGCTGTTGCAGCCAGGGTAGGAGAGGAGTCCGTCCCGTTAACGTCCCCAGAATCTAAATTCACATTTCGTGGCTGAGGTCACAGCTCTATTCTGAGCAGTTCTCCTTACGCAGTGTGTGATTCTAACAAAAACACCCTCTGCAGCTGGAGCGAGCCTCAGCTCAAGCCGGATCCTGTCAAGGCGTTCCTGGTGACTTCTGTCTTCTAAATGCAGACTGATGTTTTGCGAGAGGGGCCTCCACCACCAGGCCCAGATTGCCTGCAAAGTATTTCCTGCCTCTGAGAAGTTTGCATGTGAGAAAGTCTGCACGAAGCTGAGGGGAGGGGCAGAGCAGAGCTGCCTGGGCGTTGAAGCTCTGATTTTACACAGAGCTAAAGAGAGTTTGTCAAAGCTCTTGAGATGATTAGCTAGCGTCAGAAAGTCCTAGCGTCCTTCCTATCCCACTGGGCTCATGGAAAACAAGGAAGAAAGGAAACGCAGCTCTCCCATCCACAGCCTTTCCACTGTGTTAAATGGGGATCAGAACCCTTCTGTTAATTCTCATTTCAAACGTTTTTTTTTTTTTTCTTTAAGACAGATGTATTGGGAGCTTTTTAATACCGTACTTCTTCTGAAGTTTAGAACCTTTAAAAATTACTTAAATTTTACATCTTGGCCTTGAGAAAAATCTGTAAGTAGAGGGTAGAGCGTTTTCTTCTCCTCTTCCATCCCCAGAAATCTTCGCAGAACACAGTGGTTTGTGTTTCAGCACATGGAACCTTACCTACCGTCAGGATCCTCCAGCTACAGACAGCCACGGCTGGGAAGGCAGGAGGCAGTCTCCATCTTGATCATGTTAGAGAGCCTGGCTGACATTAAACACTTGCGGTGCTTCCTCCTGCATGGCCGAGCCCCTCAATCACATCCCCGAAGTGGCTAGCGGGGTGTGCATCCTTCCCCAGACACACAGTTTGTGAACTCTCATCTGTTTATCTTTTCTGCTTTTGTGCCTCCACTGAATGACTTCCTCCTCGCTGCTCCACGCTGGGAGCTTGGGCTACCATTTGGTTTTGATTAAAACCAGACAGCCCAACTCTGGAGAATTTAGGGAATAAGCTAATGGAAACTGCAAGTATGGCTTTAATTAGTGCATCAATTAATAATAGATGTTAGCTCGTCTTATAATAAGATGTCACAAGCGCAGATCTCAAATCATTTCTGGAAAGAATTTAGACCGGGTTTCTTCCTTTTATGATCCAGAATTCTCCCTTAGGGAAGTGCAAGGGAGGAAAGGACTGTGGCCTTGGGACGTGTAAGTTGTGGCCAGGCCAGTGGGACAGTTTCCTTGTTTACATCAGAGGAACAGGAAATAGCATCTCTCCATTTATCTTGTTCAGTTGAAATTGCTCCCTAATCTTTCCCTTTCACGTTAGTTACATTCAAAGGGTCCATTCTATACCTCTTGGTGACTTAACCAGTTTTTTTTTCCCCCACTGATTAGTGATTAGATGAATCCAATTATTAAGTCTATGGGAGAGTTGTAGATTTTTAGCTTGTCAGTCATGGGATATGGGAGACTAATTCCAATATCCAAGTAAGAAGTAAGTATAACATCACATAATGAGATGCAAGAAATATTAAGCCAGAATGTCCCAACATCTTTCCTGCTCTCTGAAATTTAAGTGAGTTTTCACTGTTCACCTGTATTCTCGGGTGGTCTTAAGTTTTACAAATTCATGGAGCTCCTCCAATATCATAACGGCCATCTTCTATTTCTCTCTGAAAACACTATGGAGGTGATAATTCGATGAAGTATGATGCCATAGTCACTGCGTCTTTCTTTCTAGGATAACTGAAATATCTCAAAAATAATGGAAAACGTGATTTGGAGAAGAGTTGAACAAGAAAGACTTGAGCCATGCACAAACTGGAAAACAAGGCACGTTCTAATATAAATAAACTGGCAAGACTCGCTATGGTGGCAAAGGTCTGGAATCCTAACGCGTGGGAGACAAATCAGGAGTTCAAGGTCAGCTTGTTCTACATAGAAAGGCCATGCCAACAGGAAAGAAAGGTGCTCAGTCACTGAAGGGCTTACCACAATGAGTGATCTCGGAACCTGAGGGTAATATCTGGAACTTACCTAAAAATATTTGAGTATGGAGACATACTCATGTAACTTCAGTATAGGTGAGGCAGAGACAGCGGAATTCCTGCAGCTCACTGGCTAGCCCTACTCAGTGAGTTCAAGTCCCACCAGAGAGTTTGATTACAAAAAACAAAAAACAAAAAAAACAAAAAAAACCTGGAAATAGACCAATGACACAAAGATTTTCTTAGAACATGCACACACATAAACACACACTTTCATGCACCCACACACACCTGCATAATACATACACACACACACACCTGCATACACACACACCCACACACAAAATAAAGCTAAAAGGATAAGATGAACCCACCCTAGATATTTATTCCCTACCCAAAATGTTGCCAGAGAGACTTAAAATTGTACATGAGAAGTATGCTAGTTAAAAAATTTGGATTGTTCTGATTATTTAAATTAAATCCTCAATTGTGCACAGACAGAAGTCCACTCATATATTCTCCTGCCACTCCTCCCTGGTTTTTCTAGTACTAAGGATTGAATTGAGCCCCTTCCACTAGACATGAGCTATATCCCAGTCAGTCCGTCATTCATTCATTATTTAAATCCTTCCACTGTCTCTGCTCTTCCCAATAGTCTTTGTCCTTTTATTTTGTATATAAAGTACTAGGAAATCATTTTCTTTTAGGCATGCAATGGAAAGTGGCCAAGCCTACACTGCAGCCTGGTTCCTCTCTGTCCTGTGCTTTTCTTTATCGGCATGAACTGTCCCCCCTCGATGTCCACTAATCATTGTGTGAACCTGGGAAGACTTCTTAAATGTTCTGTGTTTCAGCTCTCCCTTAAAAAGAGCCAGATTCTACGCAACTCACCAATTGGAGAACAGGATATAGATTACGTGTGCCTGTGTCTATGTGCTTGTATTTGCTTCTTGAAGGAAAGTCGCAGAGCAGATTGGAGTGCGAATGGACAGGACGGCTTTCTTCTCCTGACTCTGTCCCCACTATGCTATGCGTCGGTTGCTCAGGGCCTCAAGAACACCCCATCTGTGCTTCTTAGCCAGCCTCCTCATGAATTCCATCATCTCAGGGATGCCATCACCTGGGTTCTCTCTGTTTCTGTGAACATGAGCATACCACTCATCCCAGCTCAAATGCATCCGTGGGACGCCCTTAACACTCTCCTCCGTAAGTTTCTACTTAACACCAACTTCTCTTAAAAAAAAAAAATCACTCTCATTATCTCTGTATTAGAAGCATTACTTGCCAGGTATTTCATCATATGCATTTTTCATCTTTAGTTGCCAGACTCTAAACAAATCCCAGAACTTATGTTCTCATGAAGACATTAACAAACATGTGTATGAAGACAATGAGCTAACTTCCTCAGTACTCCGTACTGTGTAACGCTTGTGGAAGAGGTTCGAAACATCTGTTCCCCCTTCTGTTTACAAATCTACACACTTTGCTCTCCTGAAGGTTTGCTCAGTTTTCTCTACTAGATCAGTTGTAAGACCAGGCACAAGGGCTACGAGAAAACAGACTATCAGGACCTTATCTGGCTCCACAGCTAACCACCATGGTTATGAAGGGTCAGTGCTGTCAGCTTAACAGAACCTAGAGTCACCTGGGACTTGGACCTCTGGGCATGCCTGTGGGGTGTTATCTTATTATGATTAATGGGGGAAGACTCATCACAGTTGAGGGTAGAACATCTTCTGAGAAAGCAATTATGGACTGTATAAGGAGGGAGAGTGAGCTGAGCACCAAGAATCCTGAGCACAGTGCTCTCTGTTTCTTGACAGCTATGCAATGGGACCAGCTGCCTCATCTTCTTTCTTGTCTTCCCTGTCATGATGCAATAGCTCAGTATCTTGAATGGTGCACCAAAACAAACCCTTCCTTCTTACAGTGGCTTTTCCAGGGTTTGTCTGTCTATCTATCTATCTATCTATCTATCTATCTATCTATCTATCATCACAGACCCTTTGGCCTATACAAGACTTACTTTGAGCCTCAGTAACTATCAATTTTAGAAGTCAAGGAATTTGGACACTGTAAGATGTTTAGGCTTAAAGCTGACAGGTAAAATTACCTTTACTATTTAAATTATTCATTTTGATCATTATATCTATCTTTTGGATTTTTTAAAAGAATCTCTGTCTCTCAAACATCAAGCTGCATATGTACATATGGAACAATTCTATTGTAATGAGTGTGAGCTCTTTACAAAGACAAGAAAAGCAAGATTTAAAGACATTTTCAAACTCTTCATGTAGGCCATAAACTGGAAGTCCTTTAGGACTTTTCTAAGTAGATTTACCAAATTTTGTTTCTGTTGAAACTCTCTGAGAACTGTTGCGTGCTCTTCATATACAAGCCAGCATGTCACGTGACACACCTTTTCAATTTTAGGCATCCTACTAGACATGTCATCATGTAGCTCTCTCCTTTCAGTTTTAATTTGCATTTCTTAATGATCAATGCTGGATTTTTAAATTTATTTTCGTGGCCAGCTTCTTTGTTGCATATTTGTGCATCTTTGATGAAAGTGCCTGCTTGAAACTTTTGCCTATTTTTATATTTGTTGCTTATTTGTGCGCCTTTGATTAAAGTGCCTGTTCAAAACGTTTGCCTATTTTTAAAATTTGGACAGCCACTTCCCTAATTACTTTGTAAGGAGCCTGTAAATACTCTCCAATCAGGGGCTACATCAGATTGCAGACTGGCAGATATTGTCCCAATATAGTTGTCTGTTTTCCTTCACACTCTCCCTCTTCCTTTCTCTGTCATGCTCTCCTTTGTCCATTTTCCTTCACAAATTGCCTTTTTAATTCTTCTTCACTCTTTCTCTTGGAAGTAGGATTTTCACTTGTAATTTTAATAACGAACATGTTACTTATGTATGGCCTCTGCTGTCACAGCAAAGAAATCTGCTTAATTCAAGCTAATAACAATTTCTTGTATATTTCATGCTAGAAATTTTATATTTTTGGGTTTTATGCTTAG